AAAAAAGGAACTCAGCACAGGAGAGTAAGAGGAACAAAGAAAACGTCAGCACCACCAAAAAGTACTACAAAATGTAATCCCACTCCTAGGAATATATCCTAGAGAAATAAGAGCCATCACACGAATAGACATATGCACACCCATATTCACTGCAGCACTGTTCACAATAGCAAAAAGATGGAAACGACCTAGATGCCCATCAACAGATGAACGGATAAACAAGCCATGGTATACACACAATGGAGTATTATGCAATGATAAAGAACAATGATCAATCAAGCATCTCATAACATGGATGAAACTGGGAGACATTATGCTGGGTGAAATAAGTCAATCACAAAAGGGCAAATATTGTATGAGACCTCTACTGTAAAAACTCATGTAAAAGTTTGCACACAAAAAGAAACAATCTTTATTGGTTACGAGGGATGGGAGGAGCGGTGGGGAACTAAATAGACAATAGATAAGTGGTAACTTTGGTGAAGGGTACGACAGTACACATACTGGGGAAGCCAGCACACCTTGTACAAGGAAAGGTCACGGAAGCTCCATAGACACTTCCAAACTCCCTGAGGGACTGAATTGCTGGGTGAAGGGCTGTGGGGACCATGGTCTAGGGAACATCTTGCTCAACTGGCATAATACGGTTTATAAAGTCAGTGTGCTACATTCTACCTTGATGAGTAGCGTCTGAGGTCTTAAAAGCCAGTGAGCAGCCATCTAAGATACTCTACTGGTCTCACCCCTTTGGGAGCAAGGGAGAATAAGGAGAACAAGATACAAGCAAAGATTAGTCCAAAGGACTAATGGGCCACAGCTGCCACAGCTACCACAGCCTCCAGCAGACTGAGTCCAGTACAGCTAGATGGTGTCCGGCTACCACCACTGACTGCTCTGACCAGGATCACAATAGAGGGTCCTGGACAGAGCTGGAAAAGGATGTAGAACAAAATTCTAACTCACAAAAAAAAGACCAGATTTACCTGCCTGACAGACTGGAAACCCTGAGAGTACGGCCCCCGGACACCCTTTTAGCTTAGTGGTGAGGTCACCGAAGTTTACCATTCAGCCGGTGATTGGACAGCCTCATAAAACAAAACAGGACTAATGAGGCACAGCAGTCCAGGGATAAGGACTAGAAGGCATGAGGGAACAGGAAAACTGGTGATAGGGAACCCAAGGTTGAGAAGGGACAGTGCTGACATGTGATGGGGTCATTAACCATTGTCGTAGGGCAATATATGTACTGTTTAATGAGAAACTATTTGTTCTGCAAACCTTCATCTAAGGTACAAAAAAAAAAAAAAAATTATCTATGTGAGATCAAACTGACAACAGCAACTCAAAAGGTTTGATGGGAAGCCTAGGGGGCAGTGAGTTGAAGATAATGGTGAAAGAATAATTTAGAATAAGATAATGAGAATAGTAGCACAACTGGAAGAAGGTAACCGATGTCACTAAATTGTACATGTAGAAACTTTTGAAATGGTGTACCTTTGGCTATGCATATTTTCACCAAAAAAAAGGTCTTTCAGGGTCAAGAAGGGAGAGTGTTGACATGTTGTGGGGTTGTTAACCAATGTCATAAAACAATATGTGTACTGAATGTTTAATGCGAA